TGGCCAACTTGGTCATCTCAATGACACTATTTAAAAAAAAATTTTTTTTTTTAATTTTAGAGAGAGAAAGAGTGCATGAGCAGGGGAGGGGGAAAAGAGAGAGAGAGAGAGAGAGAGAGAGAATCTTAAGTAGGCTCCCTGTTCATCTCGGAGTCCGATGTGAGTCCCTGTTCCATGACCCCGGGATCATGACCTGAGCCAAAATCATGAGTCAGACGCTCAACTGACTGAGCCACCCAGGCGCCTCTCAATGACTCTATTTTAAACCTAGTGCTTTGCATTGGGTCGATTGAACCTTAGAAGTAAACTTTAACCCATTCATTTAACACATGTCCTTTTAGATCCTACTGTGTACCAGGCACCGTGGCTAAGAGCTGGCCTCCCGGCCGTGAACAAGCAGTTGAGGTCTTGGCGCTCCTGAGGCTGGTTGTCCAATGCTCTTCTGCTGACCACACCTGCAGCCATCACATTCATATTTATGTACCACCTAAATATATGTAGTAATATATGTAGTCCCCCTGAAGGCGGACTTATTTAGTTTTCTGAGACAAAGGGGGAGCCCTGATAATTATACAAGTTGCTTAAATAGTTGTGATTTGCCTAACACTAAACATGGCTTGAACTGGGTGCCTCCATCTTTAAATGAGTCACACTGATTATTTAGAATATTTTAGGGGCACCTGGGTGGTTCAGTCGGTTCAGCGTCAGACTTCGGCTCAGGTCACGATCTCATGGTTTGTGAATTTGAGCCCCGCATCGGGCTCTGTGCTGACAGCTCAGAGCCTGGAGCCTGCTTTGGATTCTGTGTCTCCCTCTCTCTCGCTCTCTCTCTCTGCCCCTCCCTGCTCATGCTTGTTTCTCTCTCAAAAATAAATACACATTAAAAACTTTTAAAAATATTTTAAAATATTGTTAAAAATGCAAGTATATTGACTTTAATTAGTATTTTAAATTAACCAGAATTGCCTGTCTATCTTGCAAATTACTTCAATCATTAAGTCGTCCCTGAATACCACTTAATTGCGGGGTATTGTGTACATAGTCCCTGAAAAAATGGTCACCTGTCAGATCTCGATGGCAATTTATGAAATTTATTGTAATAATTTGTGTACCACACTGACTTTTGATGCTTGTATTCTCTGGCGAACCCAAGTTGCCTATGATAATTTTTTAATAAAAAATATTTCCAGGGCTGCTTGACTGGCTCAGTCAGTAGAGCATGAATAACTCTTGACCTCAGGGTTGTGAGATCAAGCCCTACATTGGATGTAGAGCTCACTTAAAAAAAAAAAAAGTTTCTGGATTTGCTTTGATAATGCCATATTGGAGATTTTTGCACTTAGATTCAAGATGATAAGTGAAAATGGCTTATAGTCTGCCTTTGTCATACTGTCTCTTTACTGTTTTAGTTTCCTGGTTTTACTATTCCCATACAAATTGAAAACAAAATTTACTGTTTTCTTGTAATTTATATGAAATTGGGCATATCTCTTGAATATTTGGTACAATTTGCCTATAAAACGATCTTGGACTGGGGGAAGGCAGTCGTGGGTTTTGGGGGCAAGAAACTAGCCCTTTAGGCTAAGTTTTCAAATTAACTGGCAAAAGTTGCCCATAAGTCTCTCCTAAGATGTTTTTTAAATTTCTATTTGTAGTTTAGTCTCCCTTTTCAGGACGAATATTGTGAGGGGGCATCACTGCTTTCCCACTCTTTTGGTGCCCATGAGGAAGAGCCTGGGTATCCTCTCCAAAGGCTGTCTTCATGCCTGCACCTGTTACCCCGCGGCTTGAAGCTCAATCGGGTTACGTGATTGGTGGCTGTGTCAGGGGCGTGGTCACGTCATGTCGACCCCACCTCCCTCTCGTTGCTCTGGGTTACAGCTGTAACGTAGCTGCATTCAGCATTGCTGAATTCAATGTTGCTGTGCCTGCATTCAGCGTTCAGCGTCTTCATGCCCTAAGTGTTGCAGGGGCAGCCCCCCAGGGGAGAACCAACCCATAGTTTTCTGGTGCTGCCTGTGCCTGGTTGGGAAAATTTGTCTTATTCTGGAGTCCAGGATTAGGAAGCCCCTCATCCCTGCTCAGCTAAGTAATGTCCTCTAGCCTAAACCACACCAGTAATAACGTTGTGACTTGGAGATCCATCTGCCTTTTTACAAAGTTTTAATCTCTTTAATCTTAAAAAAAAAATTGTGTTTAATTTTTATTTTTGAGAGAGAGAGAGAGAGAGCAAGCAGGGGAGGTGCAGAGAGACAGGTGGGGCAGAGCATTCAAAGTGGGCTTGGTGCTGACAGCAGAGAGCCTGATACAGGGCTCGAACTCACAAACCCACGAACCACGAGATCATGACCTGAGCAGAGTCAGACACTTAACCAACTGAGCCACCCAGGCACCCCAAATATTTTTAAATGTTTATTTTTATTTATTTATTTTGAGAGAGAGAGAGAGTGAATTAGGGAGGGGTAGAGAGAGAGGGGGAGAGAATCCCAAGCAGGCTCTGAGCTATCAGTGTAGAGCCCAACAGGGGGCTCGATTCCATGAATGGGGAGTTCATGACCTGAGCTGAAATCAAGAGTTGGACGCCTAATCAACTGAGCCATCCATGTGTCCGTAAATCTTTTTTAAATCTTCAGAACTCCAAAAGGAAAAAGTGTCTGTTTCAGCAACTCAAACTCCAATGTTGCTGTTTATTTGTCTTACCCTTCTTTTCTTCATCAATCTGAATCAATTTTTTTTACATTTTAATGTTTATTTATTTTTGAGAGAGAGAGACAGAGCATGAGCAGAGGAGGGGCAGAGAGAGAGGGAGACACAGAATTGGAAGCAGGCTCCAGGCTCCAGGCTCCAAGCTGTCAGCACAGAGCCTGATGCAGGGCTCGAACTCACAAGCTGCGAGATCATGACCTGAGTGGAAGTCGGACACTTAACCAACTGAGCCACCCAGGCACCCCTGAATCAATTTTTCAATTTTATTATTCTTATCAAAGAGGTAGTTTTTGCTGTGTTCTGCTATTTCTTTGTTTTTTAATAAATCAATTTCTCTGTCTTTATTATTCTTCTTTCTAATTTGCGTTTATGCTGTTTTGTTTTAGAAGCTAAGTTTATTAATATTCAGTCTTTGTTTTTCTAATATAACCACTTAATGCCACAAATTTGCTACCAAGTATAATTTTAACAGCTTTCAAGT